AAAATTAATTAGAAATTGATTGAGAGTTGGGAAAAAACCTGAAAGAGAATTAATATCTTAGAGTAAAAAGTGGAAAATTATAGGGAGCAATGGATTCCCTGAAACACAGAATGGAGCCAACAGAACTCCGTGGCTCTATGAGAGAGAAAGAAATATAAGAAAATGAAAAAAATTAAAAATAAAAGAGGAAATATAAGGTGCTAAAAACAACTGTCTTGGAAGATGGGTCAAGGAGAAATAATTTAAAAAATCAGACTCCCTGAAAAACATGACTGAAACAAAACAAACAAAAGATATTATTATTTCAAGAAATCATAAGAGAAAACTGTCCACAGCTATTTGAACCAGAGGGAAAAGCCTCCAAATCTTGAAACACGATATTGCAAAAGGCAAAAGATATGCTTTCAACAACAACAACAAAAAAACTTAGTCTGCAAAACTGTACATAATCCTACAAGGGCGAGGGGAAATGGATTTTTTTTGTGTGTGAGGCAACTGGGGTTAAGTGACTTGCCCAGAGTCACACAGTTAGGAAGTATTATGTGTCTAAGGCCACATTTGAACTCAGGTCCTCCTGACTTCAAGGCCAGAGCTTTATCCACTGCACCACCTCGCTGTCCTGGAAATGGATTTTTAATAAAAGATTTTCAGACAATCCTAACGAAAAGACCAGAGCAAAGTAGAAACTTTGAAATGAAAACTCTGAAGGCAAGAGAAATCTAGAAAGGTAAATTTGAGTACTTAGAAGGAACTAAATGCTGATAAAGTTCCCCAAAAGAAAAGCATCCCTTTAGAATCTGAATGTCTTTGAGAATAAGAGAGGTAAATAAAATAGATGGTTTTGGGTTTGCTATCTTTTTCTGGTTTTAAGAAAATACAAAGGTAGGGGAAAAAGAGATACATAGGGAATGAAGAAAAAGTGAGGGAAAGAACTTAAAACCATATAAATGGTATATGTAAGGAGAAGCAGCAGAACCCAGGTTTCAAGTCTTAAGGCATTTGGTCTGCTCCTGCCTGAATCCTAATTTGGTAGAGAGTGATGAGTAAATGTCACTTAGCTTCAGGAAGGGTAGAGCTGGCATGAAAATTTAGGAGAAGCAAAATATTGTTCTTTTTGCTTGTTTCTTTTACCAAAAGATAAAACATTTCCATATATGGAAAATAAAACAGAAAAAAGGAGCATTGTATATATAAAGCCATGACTATTACACATAGCTACTTTTTTAAAAAAGCATATAACTTCAACATGTTACTTTCAAAGCTGTCCTGCTTGTGTTTCCCTCTGAATTTCCTTGTTACCTTTTTTCTTATTTTTCTTTCTTTGTGTTTACTTCTACACAAATGTATTCTCTGTCCCTCCTACTCTCCTGTCCCCCAACTGAACAATAAAAAGAAAAAGAAAACCCTCATAACAAATGTGCATAGTTCAACATAACAAATTCCCACACTGGCCATGTCCAAAAATGTCTGTTTATATTTTAAGCCTATCACCTTTACAGCAGGAGATGGGTAATGTGCTCCATCTTCAGTCCTCTGGCACTGTCATTTATCATTACATCAATCAGAATTCTAACGACTTTCAAAGTTGATTTTCTTTGTAATATTTCTGTCATTGTGTAAACTGTCCTCCTACTTTTACCCACTTTACTCTGTATCAGATCACAGAGGTCTTCACAATTTCCTCATATTTTTCATTTCATTGCTTTTTATGGCACAATAATATTACATGACTGTACTATATACTATAATTTATTCAGCCATTCCCCAATAAGTGGGCACTTCCTTAGCTTCCATTTCTTGACTATGAAAAAAGCTGCTATAAATGTCTATGTGCACGTGGAGATACTGCATACACAGAGGATTATTCTTCTACACTACTTCTTTAACAAACAAGTGGTTCCAGACTTGAAGACGGACCTTTGGAGAGAAAGACAAGCCTTAGGAAGGCAAACATGCAGAAGAAAGCCGTCTCCTCAACAGGTCCCTCATTTCCTGCTTGCCTCTCTAGAGATCTAGGGAATATCCCCTTGGGTGAAATCAAGGTCTCTCTCTTGGGTGAGCTGAGATATCTCATTCCCAAAGCTGTGTATTTTCTCAGCAGAGGGCAAGACAGATAGTGTCATGGAAACAACGGACATGAACTTGGACAGATTTTGAGAGTTAGTGGAGGACAGAAGGGCCTGGCGGGCTGTTTCGTGGGGGCACAAAGAGTTGGACACAACTGAACAAACAAACAACAAAATTTCCTCATATATCTAACTTGTCTAACTTCTCCACTATTCACTAGGACAAGTGGGTTTATTCATGATTCAGTATTTGAGATGGTCTCTTGGGTAACTAGCATTTGGACAGGAGTCAAACCTATGGGTGTAAGCTTAGCTTAACCTCTCCTCGTTGCTGGGATAATGATTGTAGAAGCTAGCAGTTTGTTGCTTTTGAACCTGAAAAAAAACATGCCTTTTAGGGGCATGACTCCTCAGGGCTCCAGCCCTTAGACCATTAAGATTCAGGGAGGGCAGAGATATAATTTGGTAACCTACCTCTCTAAGAGAAAAGAAAAGGCATCCTAATGGCCCCTTCCCCTATTCTCTTCTATGCAGGAATCAAAGTGTTCCTTAGAGAAGGGTGGGCAAGATACCTAATTAAAATGCCTTTCCACAAGCCAAATGTAGATAACCCATGTGGACATACCCGAGTTACATGGGTAACGTACACCTTGCACAAACATGGAGAAAGGTGAGGTGGGAGCGGATATCTCATAACCTCCATCTTCTCTGAACCAGAAAAAGGAATACATCAAAGTCAACAGGAAACACCTGAGGACAAAGGATGGCCAGGGCTATCAGCAAAACAAACTTCAAGCTTGGAAGGTTACTCACAAAGGGCGAATTGAAAAGAGAAAAAGTCCAAGAAGCAGAGAAATGGTTCTGGACTTGAAGGGAGGAGGGGCCGAGGAGCAGGAAGAGATCATCACTACGGGACCATGACATCCTGCCTCCCTATATGGACATCACAGAGCTCCCCACACCTGACACCAATTTGTTTTAAAATTTGTTCATATCAAACTGTAAGAGAGATTGGTGTACATGGTGGCCACTGCCACCTGCAATGGAAAACGATGGAAAGGTATATTGTGTTAGCCAAATTAGGGGTGGAGGTGAGGGAAAGGGAAGGACCAGGGTAGGAAAAAGAGCCTGGTTGTATCTGGCATCAGAGGACCTGAGCTCATGTTCTTACCCCGCTTCTAAGTGACTCTGGCCAAGCCACCTCTAGAGCACGAATTCTTTTGGGAAGGAACTCTCGGAAGCCTTGGCAGTGACAGAGAAAGAGACAAGAAAGAGAAAGGGGGGCTGTAGGGGAAAGAAAGGAGGAAAGGAGGAAGAAAGGGAAAGAAAAAGAGGGGAGTTACCCAGTTCAGAAGGGTGGGGGTGTCTCCTTGACCACCTGAACCAGGAGTATTTGCCCCAAGGGTAGAGGCCCAGTAGGTGTGGTACTCGAGACAGACCCCTTTTAAAGCCAGGCACCTTGGGTAAGTCTCAATTCCCAACCAGAATTGGGGTACAGGGGCCACCCCACGTCTTCTCCTAAGGATCCTCCCCTTGCTAGGGCAGAGGGTGTGAAGGAGACCGTGCCCGGCCAGACTTTCGCCCCCGATGACTTGTAACATGGTAACCCGGCAACAGTGTTAGCAGAGCAGATGGAGGGCCAGAGTGAGGACCGATGGGTCCGGCACGTGGAGCCGGCCCAGAGTCATTCTCCACGTCAGGACACCCGTCTTTTTGCTTCTGGTCGGGACGTATCAGGGACGCATTAACCGCAGCCTGGGTGGAAAGTCGCACTCCACCCCCGCCCCGGAGCCCCGCACACCCAACTCCACCCCCCACCCCCCCACCCCCGCTCGTCCACACTCGCGGAAGCCGCAAGGCGTTCACTTTGCGAGGGGGGCGGGAGAGAGTCCGGCTTTCCTTCCGCCCTCGCCGCACCTCCCCAGGCCAGCGGGACTTGTGCGGGGTGAGGGCAGGCAGCCGCCCCCGGGGCTCAGTGGGGCGGTCTGGAGCTGTCTCCTGGTCTACACGCATCGCGGTCGGGGTGCGCAGATGCAGCAGCACAGCCTCCAAATGGGAAGGAGAGGCCTGCCCGGCCTGTGGGGTGCGCAGGCTGGGACTGCCGGCACAAGGGCTAGGCCCGCCCTCAAGCGGCTTACGCTCCAACGCGGCTGAGGCTGCACCCCGGGATTCTGGAAAGCGGCGGCCAGCAGGGACGGCACGCGAGGGCGGGAAACCGCCGGTGCAAAAGCCTGGCGAGTGGCGGGCGGGGTGCCTAGGGGACCCCGAGGAAGCACGGCCCTCCCTGAAGCCTTGGGACACCTGGCGTTGAAGGAGTGAGAATGCAGGCCCCGCACGTGGGACCTGCGGACGGCGCCATTAAAGTCACTCGGCCCGCCCGGGCCTCGGTTTCCCCGCCTGTAAAGTGGGGGGCAGGGACAGGCTGAACTCGAGATCCCAACGCCCTCGTTTCCGTGGCGCCCCGCTTCCCGGAGCGGCCTCAGAGCCCCGAGGTTTCCGACTTGCGCAAGCGCCAAACCAACCGGGAAGTGGGGCAGGGAAGGGTGGGAGAGACTGCGCGTGCGCAGAAGGAGGTTTCCCTCGGGTGGGAGGGGCGGGGTGGGGCCGGAGAGAGAGGAGGGACGCGTGGCGCTACGCATCTCGAGTCCGTGCCCCGCCCCGTCCTCGCGACAGGCGGTTGAGGCCCCACGGTTCCACCTCCCCACCTCCCCGCCCCAAGGAGAGAGGAAGGAGAGGAGGGAAGCGTGGGGCGATGTGGGTGGGGTGGGGTGGCGTGGCGTGCGCGAGCGCCGCGGAGGAGGGGAGGGCTCGAGGGGAGGCGGGCCGGGCCAACGTCCCCACCCCGCCCCCTCCCGTGCCGTCGTGACACGGCCGCGGTCCCTCCCCTCGCGCGTCGCCATTGGCCGACAGTCGTCAGATGGGCGGGGCAAGGGGCGGGCCCGCGGGCGGGCAGTGATGGCGGCAGGCGATGGGGACTTGAAGCTCGGCACCCCGGGAGGCGACGGTGATAGTAGCGGCAGCAGCGACGGCGGCGAGGCCCCGGCGGGCGGCGCGGAGGGGGGCGGCGGCTGGGCGCTGTGGCCCGCGGGCGGCGGCGGCAACGAGGGCGGCGGCGGCGGCGGCGGCGAGATGCTGCTGAACGTGCTGCTCGTGCTGCTCGTGCTGCTCGGGGCCTACCGGCTGTGGGTGCGCTGGGGCCGGCGCGGGCTGGGCGCGGGCGCGGGCGCCAGCCGGGACAGCCCGGCCGCCGCGCTGCCGCGCATGAAGAAGCGCGACTTCAGCCTGGAGCAGCTGCGCCAGTACGACGGCGCGCGCACGCCGCGCATCCTGCTGGCCGTCAACGGCAAAGTGTTCGACGTGACCAAAGGCAGCAAGTTCTACGGGCCCGGTGAGCGTGGGGGGGCGCGCGGGGGGGAAGGGGAGAGGCGGGGGCGAGCGGGCCGCCCCACCCCCCACCGCGGCCGGCCCGGGCCCGGAGTCCCCGCTTCGTAGGCTCGGCCTGCGGGGGCCCGCGCGCAGGCTCGCCCGGCGCCCTTTGTCCGCGGGCTCGCGGGCCCCGGCCTTCCCTGCCTCCGTCCCTCCCTCCCTCCCTCCCTCGCCCGCCGCTTGCAGGGGCGGCCCCTTCCCGGCTCTCCCGGATTGTCGCCGGCCAGGCCCGAGCCGAGGGGGGGGAGGCGGGGCGCGGGGCGGTGGGGTTGGGTTTTTTTGTTTGTTTGGTTTTTTACCGGCGGTGTTCTCGAGCCAGCCGTGAAGCGCCGTGGATTGCCATCTGTTCTTGGTGGGGACACGAGCGTCCAAAGGCGCCCGCGATTAAGAGGGAGGTGTGCTCTTAGGGCACGAGGCCTCCCGGGCGTGCGAGAGCGCACAAGTGATACTTGTGCGCGCCAAGGCTGCTGCTTCACGTGCAGCCTGGGGGCCTGGAAAGAGCGGAAGCCCACCGAGGGGGCTCCGTGCGGCGGGGAATCACGCGTGGCACGATCCCGTGGGCCCTGCTGCCCTCGGGCAGATTGGAAGGACCTTCCCCTCCTGGAGGCTGAAGTGCTTAGAACTTCAAACTCCTTCGGATACAGGATCGCTCTCTGTTTGCAGTCAGCCCAGCGTGGGGTGGGGGGACCTTGGCTGTTTCGATACCTTGCGAGGCATTTGCTGCTGCTGACACGGACGTGCGTGCACGTCCTCCTGCTTGTGTCGGCTCTCGGGGTTCGTTCTCGTAACAGCTGCCCTGAGGGCCTCTCCGCCTGCGCCGCCGACGCTGGAGAGCGGAGCTGGGTGCGGGGTCCGACCAGCCCAGAGTGGATGGGTCATTGTCGTAAAATTGGGGTCGGCGCGCAGGCGATTGCCTTCGATAGAACAGGACTGACCGCAGGAACCTAACCAATCCATTACACTTGATTGAGCAGGGCAGCTTTTAGAGTGCCTAGATTGAATAGGAAGTGAATTGTGCATAGCGTTGGGGTGGTTTTCATGCCAGTTTCCAACTTGAGCTGTCATTGACGTGCTGAGCTTATCGGAATTGTAAGCCAGGAGCTTATAGGAGAGAGGTACAGAAGTCACGCTATACGGGTGGCTGTTTACAGTGTCTTAAAATAGCCGCCAGAGAGCCGGCCACGGACATGTTGTTTGGCGGCCTGCTGCAGTTAATGCGCTGTGGTCATGTATGTGATCATACGTTCACATACACGCACGGTTTAAAAAGCTTTGCCGCAGGAATCCTCTGGAACCTGGAGATTGAAGGCCCGCGGAAGGGGCCATTGAGACACCAACCCCGAAGTGACAGAAACTTCCCTGCTCCCTCCTGCCTCGTCCTGCTTTTGGTTAACTCAGCAAGAGGTATTTATAGATGGATACCAGAAATGCTGCCCACACACGCATGGGCTTGGCGTTTCCTTTATTTTTTGATTAGCTGAGGGTAAGAAGGTCTCTCTCTTTTTTTTTAAGGTTAGTAGGAAAAAGAGGACAAAATTTTCTAGCTGAGCCCCTGAGCATTTTAAGGAGGTTTTTAGAGGACCTGTGATTTCATCGGTGTAGAAAGGTGAGCTCTCAGTCTACCACTGCAGATGGTACTTTGCAATTGGAGAGTTGTCTGGAACCCTTTGAGGTTACGTGACTTGCCCAGGGTTACCCAGTCTGTGCCACAGAGTAGGGACTTGAACCTGTAGGTCTTTCTGACTGAATCCAGCTTACTATTACTGGGAAAAAACATTATATTTAGGGTTTTAATTTCAGTAATTTTCAGGTAAGACCACTTTGCAGTTAAACAATTTGCTGACAAGTATTAATCTTGTCTGAGAGGCTGACTCCACAGCTCACAGAAATTAAGAAGCTTTCTATTATCTAGCCAAACCCGAAATTGGACTGTTTTAACTTTATTTTAGTGCCTTGCGGAAGATGAATAGCTTACACTTACTTCACCGAGGTGCCTGGTGGGAGTGGTCTACAAGAGTGCCGAGTTTATGGAATTGTCATTTGATGGATTTAGCATTCTTTCAGCACTAGTATAGTAGAAATAACTTTGAATTCATAGATGACCTGGGTTCACCAGCTTCGGTTCTGTACTTATTACCCACTTATTACCTTGGCATGTCTGGCATCTCTTTGGGCCTCAGTTTACTTCTGTAAAATGAAAGGTTATGGCTACCTCAGGGCTCTTAGCCTGGGGTCCATGAAAATATTTTGAAATTCTTTCCATGCAATTAGTTGCCTTTGTAATCCTAAGGATTTTGTTTTATGCATTTAAAACATGCCTGAATCATCCCCAGACAGACCAAAAAGGATAGGAATCCCCACATTCCCTGATCTCTAAATCTGTGATCCGCTATTGCAGGCACAGGATCCTCATTGACACACTGGAGAAACATGTATGATCAGTACAAGGAACCAGGAAAACAAGAGACAATGGGTTACTGCACATGCCGCAAGCTGTTCTCGGCCTGACTGCTTATCTGAGAGAAACTTGTAAAAAGGCCCACTGCCAAGCCTCCATGTTATTGTGCTTTCTGAAGTTGACTTAGCCTGGTATAAAATTCAGATCCTTTAGAGAAATTGCAATACAGATGCTTGATTTACAGTAGCTATCAGATACAAGTAGTAAAAGTGTCTTTTATATCAGTTTATTTCAAACTGTCGAGCTGAGCTAATTTCAGCCTTGGTTAAAATTAAGAATGAGGGGAGATGATGATTTTTGGCATTTTATGAAACTAGTCATTGACTTCCTAACAGTGGGAGAAATTATTTTAAGAAAAGTTTAAGCAGCATCTAGTTTTCAGTTGTGATTTGTTGTAGCAGTAGTGAATTTGTTTTTATAAACATTATTTCAGTTTGGCATACATCTTGTACGAGGGCATGCACTCGGTCTTGAAGTTAACAAACACAAAAGCAAAAAGTCCCTGTCTCCGAGGAATTTACGTTCTGGTTCTCTGTTAACTGAGCAAATACACACCTTGTGGACCTGTTATAAAGGGAGTGATTATACGTGCTGGGACTGTTGGTAGATGGAGAAATTCTTTCATCTGTCTTCAGTTTTCTCCCTTCTAAATTTAGGGGATCAGTTGAGATGATTTCTAAGTGTTATGTTTTTATGTACTATGATTCTAAGTTTTGTGTTTTGAAGGGCCCATTAAGCAAATGGACCCTCCTAGTTTGACAACAGCATTTGTGTAATTACTAAATTTCTTTTCTAACTTGACATTTCCGTTCCTAAATTTTTTCTTCAGCATTACATTTGGAATAATTGCTACAATGTACGGAGTTGTGAATAAAATGAAAAAATACGCATTAAATTTCAATTAGCTTAAAGCATGAAGATAATATCATGCTAAAAAATGTAGGGGGGAGGGAAGCAGAATTGGAAGGGATCTCAGAAGTCCTCTGGTCCAACCTCTAGTGAATCTCTGGCATCCAGAAAAGTGGCTGTCCCGCTGCTGCTTGGAGAATTCCAGTCATGGGGAATTCAGTGTTTGGCAAACTGCATACATGCTGTTATCACCAGAAAGAGAAGAGTGTCCGCGTGGAGCGCCGGAGGCCCTCTGGAGCGCTCACACATCCAGGTGCCAGGGACCTTCCGGAACCGGGGTTAGAGCCGGCGGTGTAAGCCGTGACACAAAAGTTGCCAGTGTGTGTGTGTGCCATGTAGTGAGTCTGTAAACTGTAAGGTCAGCCCTTCATATGCATCACCTAAGAATTTAGTTGCTCGACCAGTATGTATTGTATTCTGTGCATAGGCACCTTGTGTTCACTGAGATGTACAAATCGCTTCTGTCGTTTTATTGCCTCCCTTACTGAAGTTTCCTTATGTCTGGCTTAGTGACAGACATCATCACAGGGTCGTAAATTTCATGCCAGAAAGGACCCTTTCTCTCATTTTGAAGATCAGGGCGCCGAGGCCCCAGAAGACTAATGACTTGTCCCGTGTTACACGGGTAGCGGGAGGGCGACAGTTTGCACTGGACGCGCCCAGTGGCCTTTCGGTCACACTACACTGCCCAATTTAATACAAAAATGGAACTAGATTGTTGATTGTTTTTAGAATCTGTCATGAAATGAGCGACCAGGAGAGGAGGCAGAGCAGAGGATCACAAGCTTGGTTCCTTGGAGATCTCCTAGACCAGATAGGCTCCTCCAGGTCCTGGGACCAGCACAGGGTCATCTGTGTGGCAGGAAGGACTAGGGTCAGCATTGGAACCCAAAGCCTCCCCAGCCTCGTTGCTGCCTGACTCTAAGAAAATTCTGGTCTCCCTCCTCTTTTCACACACAGTCTCCTCTCTTAGGCTCGCTAAAATAATCCCACAGAAAGGAGAGGAGACGACACCTCCATCTGCTGCTAGTACTGTAGTCACAGGAAAGCAATTAGAATTTGTAATGATGACCCCCGCTAGGCACAGAAGGAATTCGGGAAAGATTACCTAAGGCTCAGCTCAACCTCAGCACTTCTGCTACTTTAACTTTAAAACTCTGTGTGGATCCATAGCCCTAGACTAACAGGTTAGAAATGGATTGCCAGAGGTTGCAGTCACACTTTGGATTTGAAGCCAACATTAATTCTCTGCTTCTCTTACTTGCTCCTCAAAATCCCTTTTGAGCTCTTCCATGGCCTGGGATTGGTTCATATTTTTCTTGGAGGCTTTGGTTGTAGGAACTTTGACTTTGTTGTCTTCTTCTGGTTGTGTGTTTTGATCTTCTTTGTTACCAAAGAAAGATTGCATGGTCTTTTTTTTTTTTTTACACAGTCTGCTCATGATCCCAGCCAGTTACTTGAGTTTTAAACTCTTTGTTAAGGTGGGGATCTGCTTCCAGTGTGGAGAATGTACTGTCCCAAGCTTCAGGGGTTTTGTGCAGCTGTTTTCAGAGATGCTTCTAGCAACCTGTAAGCTTTCAGTTCTTCCAAGACTG